CAAATCCTTTATCTACAGCACATAACTCTGCAAGAAGGGCTTGTGCATGGCTGCTTTCCTGCTGGGAGCCAAGAGCCTCCCTCCTGCTCATTATCTCGTTTCCTCTTGGTGGGGGCAGCTTCTCCCAGCATGGTGTTCCAGCACATCAGATGGCAAGGCCAGAGCTTTCCTCAGGAGGTGATCTAAGCCCCAAAATTCTCATTGTTTTGCCAGTGTACACAGCTTGTTCTGTAAGCTGGTCCCAATCTGCCCACCACCAGCACCCGATGCACAGGAAACTCGTTCTAGCTTCTCCTGGTGGTTGTTGCTCTGCAAGGAGCAAGCTCCTTCCTTGTGTTCCTGCAGGAGAACAGCTGCCTGCAGGACCCTGCAGGGGATCTGTGATCTGCCCCAGGTCACGGGAAGACACCACAGCTGAAAATGCTGCTGAACAAAAATGCTTTTGTCTTGATTTCAGTTGGAACCAAGTTTTTTTTGTTTATTTATTTGTTTTTTAATTTAGTTCAGAGTGTCTGATATGATGCTACGTTTTAACTTTGGGAGTAAAACGGTATTGCTAATACACCCATATTTCGATGTTGCTGAGCAGCGCTGCACAGAGCCACAGACATTTCAGCTCCTTGTGCTGTGCTGCAGTGAGGGACTGAGGGGCAACAAGGAGCTGTGTGGAACAGAACCAGCACTGCTGACTCAAACTGGGCACAGAAATATGGCATCATGTGAGAAAATTGTAAAACTGCAGGGAGTTGAGTTGGGGGCACTGCTCAAGGACAGGCTGGGTGTTGGTTGGCAGATGGGGTGCAGCTGTGTCGTGCAGGGCTTGTTCTGTAAATACATATAATCATTACTATTCTTTTCCTTTTCCATTTTCTGTCTCAGTAAATATTTTTTATCTCAACCCATGAATTCTACTTTGGGTTTTTCCCCTCCCCTGGCTTCTCTCCCTCCATCCTGGTGGAATGGGACAGGGAGTGAATGACCACATGTGTGGTGCTGCACTGCTGCCAGGTGAATCCATGGCCGGCTTTGACCAGAACGGAGAAAATAAATGTACAATTGGGAATACCAAGCACAGTCTGTAAAAGAGAGGCAAGGAGGTCCCCTGGGCTTGTTCTACATCATTCCTATAGTATGGCTCAGGCCCTGCTCCCAGCCTAAGTCTTGCTCCCGGCCTACACCTCGCTCCCAGCCTAGGCCTCACTCCTGGCCTGGGCTCTACTCCCGGCCTAGGCCTCATTCTTGGCCTAGGTTCTACTCCTGGCCTAGGCCTTGCTCCCAGCCTAGGCCTCACTCCTGGCCTAGGCTCTACTCCTGGCCTAGGCCTCATTCCTGATCTAGGCTCTACTCCCAGCCTAGGCCTCACTCCTGGTCTAGGCTCTACTCCCGGCCTAGGCCTCGTTCTTGGCCTAAACCCCACTCCTGGCCTAGGCCCCGCTCCCAGCCTAGGCCCCTCTCCTGGCCTAGGCCCCACTCCTGGCCTAGGCTCCTCTCCTGGCTTAGACCCTACACCAGGCCCTGCTCCCAGCCTAGGCCCTACTCCCAGCCTAGACCTCACTCCAGGCCTAGGCCCCTCTCCAGGCCTAGGCCCCTCTCCTATCTTAGACCCCCACCAGGCCCTGCTCCCAGCCTAGGCCCTGCTTCTGGTCCAGGACCAACTCCCAGCCCAGGCCCTGCACGAGGCCCCACTCCTGATCTGGGAAGGAGAGGGTGAGTATGTCCCCTGGGGTTGTACTGCACCATTCCTCTGGCATGGCCCAGGCCTTGCTCGCAGCCCAGGCCCCACACCAGGCCCTGCTTCTGGTCCACGCCCCACTCCCAGGCCGCTCTCTGCTCCTGTCACCTTTGTCAGCTTTACCTTTCCTGTTTCTGTTTTTTCCTGAACAGATAGGGCGGACAGGCTCGCGCATGATGCAGAGGATCTGGGTGTGCTGCCAATTTCAGTGTAACAGCCTCCATTGCTCTGTCTTACACCCCAGCATGGGCACGCGTGGCCCTGCTGAGGAACCCTGTGTTGGAAACCTGCAGAATTCCCTCACCTTTGCCTATTATTTTCCCGCTCAGTTGCAGGGATGAAGGGGCGCTGCCTTGCTTTGGGCAGTCTGGTTTATGGCAGTAAGCAGCCATGCTGAAAACACTTGGGAAATAAGAGAGCCTCAGCCCAGGATGAGCCACACCACAGCCTCACCTGCGTTCCATCAGCTCCCTGCTCCCTCTGCATCCCTGAGGTTTTATGGCTTTGTCACCATTGTCGTTTTGCATGCAGTTGTCGGGGTTGTTCTCTGCTCTGATCTCAAAATGGCAACTCCCATTTTCTAAAGGAACTCTTTCACTTTCTATAGATTCCTCTGCTCTGTTGTTTTTTTGTCCGCTACGTCTTTCTCTGGGGGCCTCTTTGGGGCCATTTTTCCATTTTTGCCATACGTTTGCTCAGAGCTTCTGATGTGATATTATGAAATATGCTACCTGCTGCCTGCAAGAACATCACCTTTTCAGCTGCTACTTTTAATTTCCTTTCAATTCTCTCTCATTTTTGTGCACTTTGATGAAAAAATTTTGTCTTCTTTGCTGTTAAGGGGTTGGTCTTTATTGTCGTTATTGCGGGGTGGCTCCTGAATAGATCTTGTCTGTCATCCTGTGCACTGCAGAGGATTGAAGCTGGAGCAATGAGCTCTTTCTTCCTTCAGGAAGGAGTCATCCATGCTGTCTAAAAGTTGAGGAACTGCATTGTTTTCTTTCAGGACTTGTTCCAAAGGCTTTCATTGTTATGATCAGCACTTATAATTGTACAGCAAACTGAAGTGAGTGGCTCATGCTGCAGCTGCCTGCAGCCTGTGTCTTCAGCACAGGGTGGACTTTGTGGTGCCCTGTGTACTCACCCTGATCCCTCCTGCTCAGCATCCTGCAGGAGAGCAGCACAGGGCTGCAGAGTTGCCCTCGTGTCCAAGCTTGGTGCTCCTGTCCTGATGAAGCTGGGTCGGTGCCTGGCTGAATGCCTATGTTTGGGCAACTGAACCCTTCCTGTTCTGCCAATGTCAGCCAGGTTCTGCTGTGGAAGCTGCTAGGGCTGTCCCCACTGTGATGGTGAGAACTGATGTGTCCCCATGCAACAGGTTAGAGGAACTCTTGCTGCAGTGTCTGCCCGAACAAAGTGAGCACAGAGCAGCTGTCTGCTGTGGATCCATGCAGGCTTCAGAGCTGAGACTGTACAGAGAGATCTCTGCAGCTTGCCAGCAGAGACTGGTGGGATTAGTGTCGTCTGTTGGATTGCTCCTGGAATGGCTGTGCTGCATCATGGAGTGCAAAAAGTGTGTTTAGTTGCAGGAATTCTGATGGGTTTAGTTCTGTTTATTATGTTTGGTGGAATTTTGAGAAACAGAGCTTTAAGATACACTGAAGTAGTGGGATTATGACCACAAAGGACTGCAGCGTTTTGACCTAACACCAAAGCAGGCGTTTCCTTTTTTTCCAATTTCTGACACTGGTTAACAAAACGTGTTGCAGGATAGAAGCTGTTTTCTCTCCTGCGTATGGAATGTTAATACTCTCCGGAATATGTCTGTGCAGTAAAAGTTCAGGATAAGATTCAGTGATCTTTATTCCAGGATGTTCCTTCAACCAAGGCTTGTTCTTGTCCACATGTGCATGTCTGTAATTTATTTTTTTTCCATTAGTCATACAAGTTTCATAGTGAAAGGCATCATCTGACAGCGAGGGAGAGCCCTGGAGGCTAAGTAGGAAGGTGTAGACGGTGTTTTCTTATTTAGAGTACCCAAAAGAGTGATGCATATTCTACTTCTCTTTGGCATCTCTCGGGTTTTGGGCTCCTGATGTCTCACACCAGCAAGCAGCCGCCTCCTCATTAGCACCTGCTGTAGGACAAGCAATAGTTGATAAGCACACCAACACGCTAATGCAGTCAGCGATGAAATAGATAACGCTGACCTCTGCTTGCAGTACAAATGCATGCTGCCAAGTGCGAGTTATCCTTGCCTGAGAAAAATGAGCCGTAACATCAGCTCAGTGTTGCCTGTATTGCACAGTGAGTTTTCTGGGCACTGTGCAGCGCAGCACTGGCTCTCTGCTGCCTCCCACCTTGTGCCTCAGCAAGACCATTTGCTTTTCTCTAGGCAGAGCTATTTAATTCACAAAACCATAGAGATGCTGCTAAAACCTAAGCAAGCCCCAGGGCTCTGAAGCTGGAGATCATAGAATTGTGGAATAATTAAGGTTGGAAAAGACCTCTAAGGTCGCCAAATCCAACCCCAACCCATCCCCACTATGCTCATTGACTATGTCCCCAAGTGGTTTAGTGGGCATGGTGGTAATGAGTTATGGTGAGACGAGGCTGACAGAAGGAGTGAGGATGTGCAGTTACCTCTGATGCCTGGGATGAGTGCCAGTCCCCTGGGCTGGGTGTGTGGTGTGGTGGTGGGAGCTCCGGCACCACAGATCTGTCAGAGCCCATTGGAAGAGCTGCTGTGTGCATGGAGGGTTGATGATTGGGCTGTGTTTCTGCTTGGGGAGCCAAGCAGGTGTCTATGGTCAGGCATCAACTCTTCAAAACCTCCATGAACAAAACTACAGTTATGTAACCGTGTGACTCTGTGCCGGACCTGCCCCTTGGACACTGTGTGTGTCTCTGGTCTCCTGTTTTGCGAGCGATCATATAGTCATGAAGATTGGAAAAGACCTCTGAGATCACCAAGTCCAAGAGCAAAGAAGGAGGAAAACCAAAGTAATCATAACAAGAAGTCAAGGGCCAAAATGCAGGCAATGGGACTTGGGAGAGAAGCTGAGACTGCTGCTGGGGACCTGCTGCTGTGAGCTGAGCTCCGGTGTGCCAGCATGTCCTCTGCTTTTAAACACTTGATTCCCTGCCTCTACCTCCCCTCTTTTACCAACTGACACTGCAAAGGCGATGGCTTTCCCCTCTCATCCTCCTGCTCTCTCTGTATCCCTGCAGTATGCAGCAGCTCTCATTGCCCTCTGTCTCTCCACAGAAGTGTCTGCGGTTGAATCCGGACGTTCCCGTGTGGGCCTCCAAGCAGCGCATTCTGTGCACCCTCAACCACAGCCTGAAGGATGTGCTCAACTACGGGCTCTTCCAGCCGGCCTTCAATGGCAGAGCAGGGAAGTTCCTGGACGAGGAGCGCCTGCTGCGGGAGTACCCCCTGAATCCCGACACTCCCGTCCCCTACCTGGAGGTAGCTGTCTTTTTTAATGTATATATTTATAAATATATATATGTGTGCTTGTACCTACGTACATCTAGAGGTATATATACACACATATGTGGAGAAGTACGTAGGAATCATCCCATCCCTTCCTCTATAGTCTCTAAAAGCAGCACAGAAATTAAGCCCCCTCCCACCTGCCCCTATTTCCCCCCATTTCCCATCAGGACGAGGTGCAGAGATTTCTGTGGGTGTGTGTTTACTCGCAGAGAATCCATCGAGGGAAAGCTCAGGCAAACGCCTCTGAGCTCCAGTTTTAGTTGCTCATGGCTCTGCCTGGTGGAGCTCCGTGATGTTGGCCGTGGCCCTGAGGGTCTGATTCTGCCTCCTGAGCCCGCTGGTCACATCCCCTTCTTCTTATACTGGCAGATAACTGCCATGGGGAATTGGAGTTACGGAGGGAAAGCTGTAGGGAAAAGCACAGGAAGGTCTTTGGAAATGAGGCTGAAGGGGTTGAGTTTGATGTTTTTTACTTTAATTTTACATTTACTTTCATAGAATGATAGTATCTTAGAATGGCCTGGATTAAAAAGGACAACGATGCTCACCTGGTTCCAACCCCCTGCTATGTGCAGGTCGCCAACCAGCAGCCCAGGCTGCCCAGAGCCACATCCAGCCTGGCCTTGAGTGCCTGCAGGGATGAGGCATCCCAGCCTCCTTGGGCAACCTGTTCCAGTGCCTCACCACCCTCTGAGTGAGGGTTTTTTCTTTAAATTTAATTCACAATTACTGTGAATTGCGGAAGGGAACACTGTGCTTTGACAGCAGTGACCATTCCTATACAGACCTCATTCACGTAATGAGCGTGGAGGATAAATGCTAGGTTTCATTCTATATTATATTCCTTTCCAGAACATTAATTGGGACAGAAATGAATTGAATTTCTCTGTACTGACATTCAGTACAGATTTTGGTGTGGGGCTGAGCAGGCTGTGTGTATCACAGGGTGACCAGGAGCAGTTTGTGGGCTCTATTGACTCCCCACTGGCTGTATGGAACGTTGATTACCTGCAGGCAGACCTCTGGTTCCGGAATCCTGTGCTATAATTTACCCTCAGAGCCTACTTAGGAAGCATTACACACTTAAGCTGCATGAACTCTTACAACTGCAAGCGTGAATGCTGTTACTATAACTAATCCCAACTAATTTGGAAAGAAAATACTGCACAGTTTCTTAGTAAACTAATGTCAAATATAGACTAAAACATTTGCAACATCATGAGGAATGCTTGCAAATAAACCTATGAGGTAGTCAGTTCCTTAACGTTCCTCCCGTAGGCTTTAGTCCTTTGTTTTGAATGGTTCAGCATAATGTCCACACTTAATATCTCAGTGCACACATCTAAAAGCAGACCTGACGTGAATGTTTACCGTGGGTCATTTCAATTCTTCCTAACCTGATAAGAATGGCAGCTGAGCACATGAAAATCATGTTGGAAAACCAAAAGTGCCATTTACAGGGCACCGATCCCATGCTGCTCCCATAAGATAAGTGAGCCCTCAGGGCTGCATGTGGAGGTGACCAGATTGATGTGGATTTGTACAGAGTGACAAAACATTACGGAGTGACACAGAGGGACTTCGGGCAGTGCTTCCTGCCAGGTGATGCTCGGGGTGCAGGGCTGACTGCTGATGCTGTGCAGAAGCTCAGAGCAGCTGATGGTGCCACACAGCTCTGCTCTTCTCTGATGCAGTTTTGCCTTGCCCCTGGGTGGCAGTGTGTGCTGTCACATCAGAGTGACACAGCCTGCCTTCCCCATCTGCACAGCTGGGATTGGAGCTGGTTGCACCCCAAAATGGTGTGGGGGTGGAGAGGAACCCTGGCAACACCTGCAAGGGGCCAACACCTGTATGTCGGTGGGCTGGGCAGCTTTTAGCTGGGAATGATTGAAAAAAGTGGTGTGAGGACATATCTGCCCAGGATTTCTTGTTTATAACAAGTTCTGGAACCCAAGGGCAGCTGCAGCAGGCTGAAAATGAGGTAATGTATTGCCAGCATTCGAAAGTAACTCCAGCCCAAAGATAACTTGGTGTCAGTTCCAGCTGAAATAATGGGATGCTGGCGACAGATGAAGTTCATAACAGTTCACAATCTCAGAACGCAATTGAAAAAGATCTAATCAAATCCAACCTCTTTAAGGAGATCATAATTCTGCCCTATGAAGATGGCTGCACAAAGGCAGCAGCCGCTGGGGAGGACCTGGTTTTGTTCTATGAGCTCCCGTTTGGGGTCAGCGCTGTAAGGTGTCTGTAGGACATGTGGATGAGTCTAGGTGGGTTTCTTAGCGACTGATGTCAGATGCTCTGTGGGTACCCCAGGGTTTGAGTGTAATGTGTGTGAGTTGGGCTCGAGGATCCTTGTGGGTCTCTTTCAACTTGAGATACTCAACAGTTCTACCAATTAAAAATTGCTGCTGGCAGAGGTCACAGCAGTGTGAGTGCAGTCATTTGGTACGGGAGCCATCAAAGCACATTCCTAAATTGGACAGGGATGTGGCTACTTGCAAAGGAGGGGCTCTCGTTTCTGAAAACAAAGTTTCTGAAGAAAATTGTCAGTCAAAAAGGCTGTCATGAATTCCCAGTGTGATCGTATGGGATCCTGGGATCCTTTGGTGTGTACCCTGACAAACTGCGAGGTGGTTCCAGGGGTGGTTCGGGTGAGGAGATGGACATCAGAGCAGTGTTTGGTCACAGTCAGTACCTGGAAGCACACTGAGAAGAGCTGAAACCACACAGACTGATAGGAAGAACTGATCAGAGCCTCTTCACTGAGCAAAGCAATGAATGAGGAGAGAAAAGGGGGAGGAGAGCAGCAGATCCTGTCCTGTTGTGTTCAGATTTAGGCTGAGGGTCTCACTGCAGGACTTCACTGGAACTGCTCCAGAGCAAACTGATGCTGAGTGGGCTTCGTGCATCTCACATCTGACTGTTCTCCTTGCAGTTCCGGTACAAGCGGCGTGTGTACACCCAGGCTTTACTGGATGACAAGCAGTTTGCCAAGCTCCATACCAAGGTAAGGCTGGAGTTGAGCCTGTGAGCTCAGAGCCCTGAGTGCATGCACAGCACCAGTGGTCCATCCTGATGGGCAGCGGTGTCTGTGAGCACCAGGACCTGGGGGGGTTCAGCTTTCCTCGCTCGCCAGAGCTCAGATCCCTCCTGTGAGCTGCTGGTGTGGCCAAAGCCGGGGTGGTTTTGGTGCGTTGTGAGTGGAAGAACTGCACTGAGTGGTGCAATTGTGTGTGTTGTGGTGGGCACTGCTCCGTTGGAGGTCTGGGTGCCAGCTGTGTGCAGGGCAGTGCAGGGGAGCACACAGTGGGTTGGCTGAAAAGCAGCTTTGTTCTGTTCTGTGCCCTGTGTGGGTGATGGAAGACCCAGGAGCACAATGTGCACATTGAGCAGCCTGCTGTTCTCCTGCTCAGGGGCTGTTGCACACCTCCATTGTTGGACTGCTGCACCGTGGTCAGTGATGGAGGAATGTATAAAGATTAATGGCTGGGGATACCCCTGGTGGCACAGCTGGCAGGTGTGGGGTGATGGGCACTGTGGGGCTGGGGCAGTGGGGGTGATGGGTGCTGTGGGGCTGAGGTGCTGCGGGTGATGGATGCTGGGGTGACAGGCACTGTGGACCTGGGGAACTGGGGCTGACAGGTGCTGGGCACGCAGTGGTTGGTTGGGTGGATGCTCTCCTGCATTGCTCCTTCCCAGCCAGCTGCAGCAACTCCATGATATCGTTTCTCATCTAAGAAACCAAGAGCAAAGAGTGTGGAGAGGTCTGGGACCAGCAGAGGGTTTCTGTTGTCACTGATAATTGTTCCCTGCAGCACAGGGTTTGTGGGGATGGTGCTGGTTCCTGGGATACTGGGGCCAGCAGTGGGCAGGAGGAGCAGGGTGGGCAGCATTGGTGTGGCTGGGGGTGGGAGGACAGCCTCAGCACCCACCAAATGCAGCCCATTTCTGGGGGATCCCATGGGGAAATGGGGTCTCAGGGCAGGGAGCAGAGCTGTGGAGGACTCCTGGGTTGCCCTGTACAGTGGAGGAAAGTGCCAGGAGTCTCTGGGGTTCTTGTTAAGAAGGCTGTAGGACACAGAACTGCTCCTGCTGTAGGGCTGCTAACTGCTGGCTCGGTCCTGCTCGTGTGTGTTCTGTGAGGGAGGCAGGAGGGAGCTGTAAGCTCTCCATGAACATGCACAGCAGCAGCAAGAGCAGAGCAAGGGTGGAGCCACAGGCAGAACACAAGGGGAGAAAAAAAAACCAACTTTGTCCCAAAGGGCTTGACCTACTGCAAAGGTTAAAATCTTCATGGGAAGAAACACGTCCTCTGTCTTCCTTTAGCAGAGTAGCAGAAAGGAGGAATGAAATACTGCCAGGGCTCAGATCTGACTCACGAAGATGAAAGTCGTGAGGTTTCTGTCTTATGGCATAAGAATATCCAGGCAGCAGATCTGGAAAGGGCTCAGCATCTCCCTGGCGCCAGGAAGCATGAATCACTGCTGAGCCCTGCCAGTGGGAGCCGCGCTTCCTACAGGGAGGGCTGAGCTGGGGAGACCCGGGCGGCAGCGTCTGAGGGCATCCCCAGGAGTGTGCAGGAGCCAGAAATGTGCTTTATTAAATATTCACTTAATCTCTCTGCTTTAATGTCTGCTTAAAATAACAAATCTCCTTCAAGTCGTTTCTTTACTTTTAAGCTGTCCCTTGCTACTGAAGGACGGCATCCGAGGGAGATGTGCAGCCCTGCTCCCATTTGCTTCCATCAGGAGGATGCTGATGTTCTCCCGGAGCTGCGGTGCTCCTGGGGCCAGCAGAGCCCCATTCCTCCCCAGTGCATGGCTGAGCAAGGGCGGGATTGTTTCCATGTTAACTGAAATGAAGCCTTATCTCCTGGGCAGTGAAATGCTGTTCTTTTTGTGCTGCTTTTTTTTTTTTTTTTTCTTTTCTTCCCTGAGATTCAGTAATTAAAAGCAGTGTGAAGAATTAGCTTTGGGTCTAATGGGACAGTAGGACTGCTGCTCAGGCATGTGCCCAGCCCTACCCCTGCCATGGGCTGTGTGCCTTCCAGCTTGGGCTGCCCAGGGCCCATCCACAGTCTTGGGCACCTCCAGGGATGGGGCACTCACAGCTCTGGGCAGCAGTGCCCGCGCTGCACCACTTCTGGGTGAAGGATTTATGTCAGATGTGAGGGGAAATCTCCCCTTTTTTAATTTATTCCCCATGTCCCATCACCCTCTGCCCATGTACAAAGCCATTCTCCTCCTGTTGAGCAGCTCCTTCAGGTCACTGGGAGGTCTCCCCTGTCTCTTCTCCAGGCTGAAGTCCCGAGGGCAGAGCAGAGGGGGACGGTCCCCTCCCTGCCCCACTGTCCCCTTCACCTGCAGCCCAGGGGGCAGTCGGCTGGAGACCTGTGCCTAATGAGCTCACCTAAAGGAGGGTAAAGCACCAATGAGATGGGATGGTCTCACATTGTGCTGGGAAGGGTCAGGTTGGAGATTGGGGACAATCTGTGCTGCAAAGAACAGTCAGCACTGCACAGCTGCCCAGGGCAGTGGGGAGTCCCCATCCCTGGGGGTGTTCAGTGACCAGAGGGATGTGGCACTTGGGGACGTGATCAGTGGGATGGGTTGGAGTTGGACTGGGGAGATCTCAGAGCTCTTTTCCAACCTGAATGACTCTGTGATTCTGTGTTCTACAGGAGGAGATGGGCTCCAGTGTAGTGGTGGAGCAGTCTGAGCGCAGCCTGGGAGCTCCCGTTATGGTGACAGAACAGTGCAGACTGGTTTGCACTCCTATCTAAAATATTGTCATAGCCCAGAAAATCTGATTGGAGAGACAAAGGAGCTCGTTAACGCCAGCAGGAAGTGCTGGATGGTGAAAGGGCTCACAGGGAAGTGCCATGAGCAGATGAGCAGCTGTGCAGTTAACTCCTGGAGCACTGTGCCGTGCCTGCAGCCTGGCTGCTGGCATTACCTGAGTACCACTGTGTTTAGGCTGCAACTCATGCTTCCTTGTCAGCTCTCAGAGCAGCAAGCCTGGATGCTGACCCTGCTCCTTACATTGCGTTCACCTCTGCCCCCTGGTCCTCAGCCCACAGCATCTCTCTGCTGCCCTTGGTCCTGTTAATGCTGGGAGTGCTTCAGGCAGGTTTGGAGAAGCGCTGAGCCTCAGAGATGGCATGTAAAGATTCTTTGTGTGTGCAGTGAAATGGATTATCAGGCATTTCTGCTTGCTGCTGCCTGGGCAAGTGCTTGTAAAGTGACTGTACCAGGGAGGAGGTCAGTGGCTTCCTGCCTTCTGTAGGCACCATGAGCATGTGGCATCTGCCATGCTCTGGATGGCGGGTGGTTTATCTTAATCCTAGCTGCTGTTAGGAGCAGACCAGGCCCTGAGGAAACATTCACCTTGCTTTGATACTGAAAAGGCAGGAATCATCAGCATGCAACTGCTGTGAAGGGCTGTTTGTCTCCCTGTGCTCACAGTGGGTCCGGCAGCATCCCTGCAGTCAGCTCTCCCTGCACTCAGCCCAAGCTGAGCAGCCAGCAGCAGTTAGAATAATTTTTCTGCCAGAAGAGTATCTTGTTTATTTTCTTTCATTTTGATTCAAGAGAGAAAAGCTGGTGAGAAAAGCTTGTTCCCTCACACCAGCTTCTTCTCCATGAGCTTTTTCTGGAGGGTGTTGATTTTTCTTGAGGTTTTGTACCAACAGAGGATAACAGGCTGCACACAATGTCTCAGTGGGACGACCAGGGCTGTGCTTCCTCCCCAGGAGCAATCCTGGCCTTAACCCCAGGCTTTGGGGAACGTGCCTCAGACCAGCTCAGCGGAGTGAACACGGGGTGTTTTGGGTATGGGTGCAGAAACGAAGCACAGGGAGCGGTGGCCGTGGGTTGGACAGCCAGCCCTACTGGTTCCCCAAGCAGCGGGATGAGGGCAGAGCCAGGTTTCAGTTCTTGTCTCTTCTAACAGCGCTCCTCCTTTGGTGGGAGCAAGGTAGGTTGGCGGTCAGCCTGCAGGAGATGCAGGTGATGAGCACAGATCCGCTGCAGAGGCTGGGATGAGGCTGCAGTGGTTGTGGGGTTGAGGTGGGAGGGTCCCACCTTCCCCCAACCCCTTCTGCCCGACCTTCACACAGCCCTTCCATGCCAGGGGGTTGGGAGATAGGGCTGTGAAACGCCCTTTCAATCAGCCAGGGGCGGCCATACGCTAGGCTGATTTCATTGGATGAGTTATTGCTGAGTCTTGCTTTTTTCTGCACAGAGAAAGTTTCCATCGTGCCAGTCAGGACATCCATCACCACACACTGATTGGAAAATCACCCTAATCTCCATGAATACATTGCTTCTGCTCATGGGAAGATGTACTGGGAGATGATAGCTTTATATATGTGCGTTTAGGTTTCAGTTTTTTGCATGTAGGAAATAGGATGCGGTGCCTTTATTGGCTCCTGATGTTTCTTTTGTTATTTTGATTTGTATCAAACTATTTTTGGGCGGAAGCTGGAATTCAATTAAAATTAAAGCAAAGTAACATTTTAAATAGTATCTTTATCACTTCAATAAATGTTCCTTGAATGTACTGGGTACAGAAAAGGAAAAGTAAATCTATCAGTACATATCTTTTGCATTTAAAGCTGACTGATCTTTCAAACAAAGGGAGATTGGGTTTGTATTAGTGGTTCCCATTACAAACTCTCAAAGGTATTTAAGTGCCAGAAAATAAGTATCTGGTGAGATTCACAATTGCCTGAGTGGTTTAGGCATTGCTGAGCTCCCCTTGATTTCAGTAGGAGTCTGACATTTGCTCTCTCTCTTCGTGTCTAGTCACCTCAATACATTTGAAAACCTGGCCCCAAATCCTCTAGTTCTTAGAATAATGAGATCTCATTCCTTTCCCACCAGGGTTTTATTCACAGATTGGGGGAGAAAAACAAGCTTCCGCGCACTCTCAGCTCTCAAATCTTCGGGCTTTGAGTGAATCAGTCCAAATGAAAAGGAAAATGTTCTGTGTTTCTAGCTAAATTGAAACGAAAAACAATCCGATAGGAAAGCTCTTTTATGCAGCATAAGTTGAAAAACCAACATGGGAGAATGTAAATACCAGCATTTGCTTCTGTGAAAAGTGGTTATAATGGGCCCAGCATGAGACACGACTGTGACATATTTATAGATTTCCAGAGCCAAGGATGGTTTGTTCTGGTTCTGAACGGTGCAGGAGGAGTGTGCTCGAATTTGTGGCTTTTGGCAGGAGAGTCATTCAATCAATATGGTTTTCTAAATGCTCGTAAATGCTGCCTTCAGCATAAGTTGTCATACCCCAAACTCAGGTTTCAACAGTTGTGTTTTTTAATTGTGGGAAAGAGCCTTAGTGGAGCTGAAACCTTACTGACACAAAGACAGTAAAGCCAGGATGGAGACATAAAACTGAGAGGGTGTCCAAATGAGGGCTGCAGAGAAGGGGGAGGGTCTGAGGGGAAAGGGATGTGAGGAGCAGCTGAGGGTCCTTGGTTTGTTTGGTCTGGAGCAGAGAAGGCTGAGGGGTGGCCTCATGGCGGCCCTACAACTCCTCATGGCAACTCTACAGCCCCTCGTGATGGCCCTACAGCTCCTCATGGCAGCCCTACAGCTTTGCATAGTCCTACAGCTCCTCATGACAGCCCTGCAGCCCCTCACATTGGCCCTACTGTTCCTTATGGTGGTCCTACAGCTTCTCATGTCTCTACAGTCCCCTTAAGGCAGCTTTACAGCTCCCTCATGGCAGCCCTACAGCTCCACCATGGTGGCCCTACAGCTCCTTATGGCCCTAAGCTCCTCATAGTGGCTCTACATCTCCATCATGGTGACCCTACAGCTTTTCATGGCAGCCCTACAGCTCCTCAAGTCCCCTCATGTTGGCCCTACTGCTCCTCCTGGCCTTACAGCTCCCCATGGTGGCCCTGCAGCTCTTCAGTTCTTAACCTCTCTGCTCAGGTCTGTGTTGTGGTTCCAGAGTTGGTACTGGTTCCAATGGTGGTTGAACCATTTGGCTGCACTATGGGATGCCCCAGGGCTCTGAGCTGGGGGTCCCATGGGGCATTCCAGTGCTGGAGGCACTGGGCTGCAATGGCAGGTGTGGGAGAGGCTGTGCAGTATGAGAGGATCTTGATGCGAAGGTTTGAGGTGTGCACTGACCAAGACGTCTCAGTTAGCAATTTCCCATTCCTTTGCTTAATCCCATTTCTTTTATTTCTCACCTCTACCCATTGGCAGAGTGCTGGGAGATCTCTGAGATGTAGCAGAGTGCTTTCCATGGATGCCTGTTTAAAAATGGGGGTCTCTATCTCTCTATGCTCAGGGCAATGCTTAATTTGAGTGGAACAATGGGTTTCCCCAAGTTTATTCTGGAAAACAACTTAATTGATTTAATTATATCTGTATCTATATCAGCTCAGGCCTTGAGCTGCACGTCTGGGGCACACAGCACAGCAGGTGGTAACTGGTGGGAGAGAATGGTTTTCTATTTGTTATTTAACTTCTTAAGCCCATTTGCTTGACAGATTATTTTTGAAGCTTTGCTGTGGATTTGATCTGAGGGTAGATGAACTTTGGAATGTTTGGAAATACAGGATAGTAATTGATTTCCCCCAAAGAGAAATTCCATGCATGGCCCTAGTAGAGTGTAATGCATGGGACTGTGATGTTGAACGTCAACAATGGGAGAATCACATCGTGGAGTTGAGGCTGCCTCCCTCTGCATTCTCCTTTTGCTCATGCACTTTTTCTTCAGTTTCTTGCAAAATGCAGAAACTATCATTAAAAGTTGACGGCGTGCTGACGTGGGCTCAGCTCTGCCAGCACGAATCTGGAGGGATGGACAGCACTGTTCCCAGGGGCTGCAGTTACCTTGTGCGTGGCATTGGCTGTTGACCCAAAGGTCTGCAAAGCAAAGCTGGAAGCATGTGTGAAAAGAATGTTTTCAGTCCTGTTTGCCTGCCTGGCAGAGCGATAATTTCTAGAGCCTGGAAATCTATTAAACAGCGTATGCATCAAGTGTAGCTACCCAAAAGGGGAAAAAAGAACAAATCCTCACAGCCTACAGCCAGGCAAGCAGGCTTCAAGGAGTCCTCTGAGCTCTCAGTCCCCTCAGGAGAAAAAGATTTGGTCAAAACAGAGAATGGCATCGTGAACAAAACGATTTTGCAGCCGTAGCTGTGACACCACAGAATAACAGCTGGTGGCTGTGAAGTTGGTCTTTCTTCTTAAGCATTTCAGAGTAGTTGGCAAAGAGATGATGCACCATCAAAGTGACTTGGTGACCTCAGGAGGTGCAGTGCTGCTGCAAGATGTGGGCAAAGCCCCAGATGCTGTGTCAGTGGCAGTGCTGCTCAGCACCTTCCATAGCAGTTTCCATGCTGCCTGGTTGGCAAACACTACAATGTGTGTTTGGAGATGTGTCCGTGTCTCAGGAGTGTGCAACACGTGTCTGCTCTCATGGGGTGTGAGCAGGGGACTGTGGTGTGGGCAGGAGGGATGGCTGGTGGCCCCAATGCCTTCCATACTTTCTTGGGGTAGTCCAGTGATGCCAATGAGGCGTGGACAGGAAGGGCTTCGTCCTGCACAGACCTGTGGTGTGCCCTCAAAAAGGACATGCACCCTATAGGGAGTAGAGCTTCAGGGACCTGGGAATGAATATATGCACTGTCTCCTCATGGGTGCTGTTCTGATGTTGTGCTGGTTGCCTTGGGTCTCTTGGATGGGGATGTTCCTCTGGTGGCTTCTTTCCTCATATTGGGGTGTTAATGCTATGTATTGTGTGTTTTCCTGGGGTGTCACGGCTGCAGGCAAACCTGAAGAAGTTCATGGAATATGTGCAAATGCTGAACGTGGAGAAAGTCTGCAGACTGCTGGAGAAAGGACTGGATCCCAACTTCCATGACCCAGATACTGGAGGTGAGATTGGCCTCTCCAGAAAGGGGGAGATGGCAGAGCAGGGCTGGGGGAGAAAGTGTCCAGGGGAGACAGTGGGAATTTGGGCAGTGGTTGTTCTTGGTGGGCATAGCAAATGATGGGTTATCTGAAGGGGAAGGTTTGCTGGATTTCTTAGTAGTGTGTCTTAGGTCTTGGAGGTTTTTGGAGCACAAAGTTGTGGAAGGCTGTTGGCAGAAGATATTGTGTGGGGTGAGAAATATGCATTGTCTGGGAATGAGACATAAAATGAGACAGCTGTGGGGCTGTGCATCTTTCAGATGGGATTCTGGGCAGGATGGGGCAGTCTCTGGGACTGGCACATTGAGGGAATGTGGAATCTCTTTGTGAAGCAGTCAGAAGGCTGAAGAAATGTTTTGGAGGCCAAGAAAATCAAATCTTGGCTTCTGGGTTTCTCAGTGTTGTTTTTCTAATTTTTTCCCCACCTTAGGGAAGTCAGGGTTTGGAGTGTTGGCTGTTGGGTTTTATAAAGGCTTCAGGGTGCAAGGAGTGAGAATCAAACTCCCATGTTTTTTCCTTGAGAGCAGAGGATGGAAGGATCTGTCCCTGGTCCTGGCTGAGGGCTCTCATGGTCTTGAGAGAGGAGCTGCTGGTTTATTTCTGTTTTCAAGCAATGTTTTTTATGATCAGTTACTACAGAGTTGGACTTCTGCTTGTGAACGATGGGCACATTTCCAACTCATGAGCAGGTGCCAATCTGATGATTAATTTTCCGTGTTTCTGGTTCAGCTGGATGGCTCCTCAGGTTGGTTCTGAAGCTCTGGCTATCTCTGCATGAGGAGTTCTCATGTGCCCAGACAGCTGTTCCGCACTGCAATCAATGGGCACGGCGTGGTTCGGGCACATTGTTAACCTCTCCAGTCCTTTCTGACAATGGGACTGCACCCAGACTGCTCCTTGGGAGGGCTCTTGGCCTCTGCCATCTCCTGGACTGGAAAGGTGAAAGTTGACTCAGCCAAACTGACAGAACCACTCAAACTCATCCAGTAATGTTTGTTTTGTTTAATTTACTGGTGTAGCCACTCTGTCTGGTCCCGATGGACAACTGCTCCTGTGACAAATAAACCACTAGCAGTGAATAAAACGAGCCTGATCACTGCCTTGGATCATGCCCAAGCAGATCAGCTCTGTTTGGTTTTCACTGTTGCCCAAGCCCTTTCAAGCATTTGGAGGGACATTTCTTTAAAAGAAAGCTCTCTGCTCTTCTCTAGCTGACTCAGTTTTATGAAATGTATCATACTGTAGAGTGCAGTGCGCTCGAGGAGATCATAGAATGGTTTGTTTGGGAGGAGACCTTAAAGCCCATCCAGTTCCAACCCACTGCCACAGGCAGGGATACCTCTCAGCAGGTCAGGATGCTCAAAGCCCCATCAATGGAGCTACAAAAGTTTTGGGTCTGATGTTATCTCATGGAATCATAGAATCACCAGGGTTGGAAAAGACCTCCAAGATCATCTAGTCCAACCACCCACCTATCACTGATATTCCCCACAAACTGTGCCTCTCAAAACAACATCTAAATGTTTATGTAAATGTTTATGGAACACAGAGGGCTGGAGGATTATAGGAAGAGGCTCACGTGTACTGAGAAGAATCTGTTAAATACAGAGGAGGAAGAATGAGAAAAAAAACACCAAAACAAACAAACCAAAAAAAAGCACCTGATCCAAACAGTCTCATCTGATTCCAGTTCAGAATTGACAGCAAAACTGGATGTTATGAGCTGTGAAAATAACGCTGGTGCAGGGAGAGTCCTGGACACCTCACTCTGAGCCCCAATTCTTGTGCAAAAACACACAATTGTTTCTTGCTTTGCAGTCTGTTTCGTGAGCGTGAAAGAATGACATGGAACTGCTGTTCAGTATCCAGTGGCTTTCTGGAATTTAAGAGCAGGTGGAGCTGTTCCACCACCCAACTGACTTCCTGCACCCCGGGGCATCCTCGTCACCCTGTGTGTGTGTTCACAGAACACAATGAACAACGCTGAAACATATTTTCCATAAAGTCATCAATCCTGATTCAGGGAACAGAAGATCCGTGCTGTTCCTTCGTTATTTGGTTAATCACCCTCACTGTTTAAAATTCGTGTCTTATTTGAATTTGTATGCTTCAGCTTCCAGCTGTCGTTACACTTTATCTTCTAGATTAAAGAGCACTTTAGTACCTGGTATGTTTTCACATGATTGTATTCATACATGGTAATCAAATCAACATTTAATCCTCCTTCCCCTAATTAAAGAGAGGCCGAACTCCTTCAGCCTTCCATTTGAAGACATTTTCTCCTGTTTTCCCATCGCTTTTGAAGCTCCCACGTCACTGCTCCATTTCTAAGAGGTCAGCTGGAAGGCAGACAGCAGGCACATTGCTGTGCAGTGCTCCCCTGCTTATTCCTGCTGTCCGTGTCGCGTGGGAGTGGCCTCACTGGGAAGGACTTGGATTGCCACATGTTGCTGAAACAGACTCTGTGTCACACCATGACCTGTGTCACCTGAACCACAGCAAACCACAAGAGTTCCTTGCTTGGGAGCTTCACTTTGGTGGGGCTGCCTCTGTTCCCGTTCCCCAGGAGCATTTTGCAGAGCCGTGACCGAGGGTGCAGGACAGTGCATCTCCTTCCTCACTTGTCACATTCACTGAGCTCTGATGGATCCTGCGGGATTGCCAAGCCTTTTGCTTCTGGTTCTGCATTGCCCAGCCCTGATTGCTTTCCGTAATCATCCCAGCTTCGTGTCGCCTACAAATCTGATCAGAGATTTGCGCCTACTTCAAGACAAGTGATGAAGATGGCCAAGTCCAGCACCTTGGAGAGCCCCTTCAGCCAACCCCTCTGGTTGCTTCTCCTCATCTGGATTTCAGTTCATGTGAAGGACGGGGAGCTGACATTTGGTGCTGCTTGTTTTCCACGTCGGGTAGGGCTGTGCACAAGCCTCACAGCTATCTGCATCAGCCAGACTGTGAATTAGAAGAAAAGGGGTTACAAATGAGCAGCAGGACCTACTTACTATAAAACTTGATTGGTCAATATGAACACACAAGGATCTTCAATCCTGTGTCGGTTAAATTCCGTATAAATTTCCCAGCATTTTCCCAAGATTGGCATTATTTTTCTGGCTTCTTGGTTCATGGATCATCTTACTCGTCCCTTTTTGTGTCTTGACCCAATGCTGCTGTTCTTCTTATTTTTTTGGATAGCTCAGTACTTCAAAATGTATTCAAATTTAACTTTACTGGCACAGAAAGATCTTCAGGGAGAAGTTAAGAAGGATGATATACCACATTTTCTAGAAGTAAACAACTTCTTCAAGTGCAGGTAGCTTATCTCAGAAATCCCATTTTGGTAATAGAAAGGAAAATGGCATTTCCTCAGCAGAAAAATTAACAACAACCATTGGCCATTTTGCTTTCTGTATTTATTACCAATTATATACTGCCTATCTGACGAGTGTGTGTGGGGCCCGGGAAATCATTTGGTGTTCTCTAATTTAAACAACAACAACAGGACCCCCCTCTGACAGCCCTTTGCCATGCCAAATGTGGTTTTCTTTACTTCTGTGCCATTAGTCCCTGTTCTTGTCCTTTGTTTCCTAATTTTCTGTTCATGCTGACCACTATTTCCTCGTGTCCTGCCGTTAGAGCTGGTGTTGTAACTGCTGCTGTTCCTACACTGCTGACCTGGAAGGGGTACACAGCAGTGGTTCTCCTCTTCAATTTATGGAGCTGAATCCCTTCTCTTTTAAGAACTCTCAGTCACCTTTTACTTTTTGATTTTAAGCTTCCCGTGTTTCCTACAACAGATCTAATTTCCCTTGGTTGATTCCCATAGGAAGCATCAGATATCCCACGTCTGGTTGGGACTCCCATCTCCCTGTGCTGTCCTGTGCTGATTAAACAGCAGGAAATTGTTTAGTAGATTTGTATTCATTATACTGAGACCTAGAGAAGCATTCCTGTATGTTGGAGCAAAGCATCACTTATAGAGAGCAATCAGTTTCCCGTGTTCAGAAAATGAGATGATATCTTATTGCCTCTAGGTTGGGACATTCAGCATTTGCTTTCAAGCTGAATTTGCCCTGGCAGTTTGAGTGTTAATTTATATAACTTGGTGATCAACACTTAGAGGTTAAGGAGTTTTTTTTTCCTTTACTACATAAAGGAAAATAAATAACAAAGTCTCATGAAGGACCTTTTGTTACTTCTGACACTATTCCACACAAACCTGTGGCTCTGTTCTGAACCATTGCTGGCTATATAACAGATGATGGGATTTTGATGTAAACTCTTTCTCTGGGCCTCCTTGCCCATTTAATCCGTTCCCATTCTCATTGCAATCAGACATTCTATGTTTTCTAAAATGATTTAATTGTCTGTAAGTTTCAGTAATGACAATGATGTCAAACTTCTTATTACCATTAAAAGCAGTCCACATCCTTTTTCCTGTTATCCAGTCTCCTCATACTTCGAAATGAACAAAGAGGAAGAAAAATCTTCCTCTCATTCTTTATCAAATGGGCTTAATTACTTCTGACACGGTGCATTTGTGCAGTGTTTCCCTCTTTGGAATTGTTTCTCTAATGTTCTTGATTTAATGTCTTTCTAATTGTTCTACTTAAGTCTCAGCCAAGATCATTATCTCATCTCTCTGTGGAGTGCAGGTTGTTGACTGTGAAAATCTTCTAGCACGGTCCAGCGTTCCCCAAACCCAACCTTCTCAGTTTTGCTCCCATCCTGTGGCTGGCAATTCCCTTCCAGCATTTTCTGCACGATGCCATCTCCTGCTCGTGGATCTGAAAGCATCTCTGGGATGAGCTCATGAACTTCTCTATCCGTCAGCTCTCCAGCAATGTCCTCATGTCCCATTACTGTCAAATCTCTTCTCTTTAATTTCACAAACTCGTCCAACACTGAAGGACAACGGTGGGCTGAGATGTGACACAAATACATGACTCCATGCAGAGGCACAGTGTGGTCTGGGCTCTGGCTCCTCTTCCAGCTGATGGCAAAGGCATGTGGGCCCCACTCAGCCACTTCCAATCCATGCCTTCCATTGGTCACCAAATCACATTTATTGTTCAGGACTGCTCCTTTCCCTTTGTAGGAGGGAAAACGGAGTGCTTCCAGCTTAACGTGGCGTTTCTACTTGTACAGTTGGAAAAGATTTATGCCTGAGAAGAGGGAGCCATATCCCAGTGAAATTCCTGTTTGGCAGTCCTGCTTTCCTCCTAAGGAGTCTACACTACTGACTTATTGACTAAACTGGAGTTTCCTGAGTTTCTGGATGAAAGATGGAGAGGATGCGGGGACCCCCTGTAGCAGTGTGAGTGCAGCATTATAGGTTATGTGGTTCCATGACTGTATCAGCAAGCAGTCATATTGGTGTGGTTTGGTTTGGTACCCCATATGTGTAGGATCGTGATAGAATAGAATAGTCCAGGGGGAAGGGACCCACAAAGACCATCAACTCCAACTGCCTGACCGCTTCAGTGCTATACCAATGGTTAAAACAGTTCATTGAGGGCATTGTCCAAATGCCTCCTGAACTCTGACAGGCACAGGACATCACCCACCTCTCTGGGATGCATGTTGCAGCATCTGACCACTCTCATGGTCGGTGAATGTTTCCAAATGTCAGATCTGAGCCTCCCCAGGCATGGTACTGTCTTGTTCCCACCCATCCTACCATTGGTCAGATCAGCAAGTCCCTCTCCATTTCCCCTCCTTGGGGACTCTGCATTATGGTTGATGCTTTGCTGGTCTCTGGTCAAAGCAGACCTGAGCAACAAGCTTTTAGGCTAAGATACTGTGACCCTGGTGTAGGAATCCTCCCAAGATCACAGAATCATAGAATGGCCAGAGTTGCAAGGGACCTCAAGGATCACGAATCTCCAACCCCCCTGCCACATGCAGGGCCACCAACCTCCCCATTTAATACTAGACCAAAGGCTGGGGACCTTGTCCTTATGACCGGAGTCTTCACTCTGCTGGAAGTGGTATTTCTCAGACACTTCCATCCCTTCTGACCACGGTCCCCCCTCCCTCCTCAGAACCCTGAGTTCCAGTGCTGCGCAGTGAGCTCTGCCTCCCCCGACCCCCGTCTGGATGCTGCCTTTCCCATTTTGCTCAGGCTCAGCTGAAGGCAGCGTACATCAAATGCTGAAGTGGGAAGTCTCAGTAATTATTCATTCTGCATGTCTTGAGTTAAGCACCGCTGCTGCATTGCTTTACTTAAAGTCTCAATAGCTGCAAAGCCAAACGTCCCCTCTCCTGGATGCTTGAAAAACCCCACTCTTCGAAAACCTTCATCCTTTCTTTGTTGAGAATACTCCTATATTGAAATTTTAACCCAGAGGTTTCACGTCTATCAGCAAAGTGACGGTAATGTGAGCAGCACTCCAACTAAGGTTTCAAGAGAAGGAACAAATAAATGGCCAGATTTCCAGTGCTTGGTATTTAGCAAAGATAGCACTTATGCACTGCAGCTTTTTCTATTTTTAATTTCTCATCTCTCCTGTGGAAAATCAGTGTAGTAAATCTATTCTTTTTTTAGTCAAAACAGCATTGCTATTAGCTGTGCAGTTTTATCCTCTGGGTCTCTGGGGTAAGTCTGACAGAGATACTGCAAATAGCCCCGGACACCAAATGTTCCTCTCCTCATATTCAGGCCTTCAGAAGTTTGGCTAATTGCAAACAGCCTTTATTCAGCGTCCTCCTACAAGAGCAGAGGGGGGCCTATACCCGTGAGGTTTCAGAAGCTCCATCCTTCCCCATCTGAAGCTTTCTTCTTGAGCCACTCATGTGCCACGGACGTGTTTCCTTCCTCCCAGCCCGAAGGCTGTTGGAAACTGCAGCATTACCGTCTCAGTGATTTGCAGTATAAAAAACTGATTCATCCCTTCTCAAGTTCTGTAACGTTTTTTTTTTTTCCTTCACCTCTTGACCCAGGGAAAAGAATATCCCTGCAGAAATTATTTATGGGTCATTGTGGAGTCTCCTCCCATGGAGATATCCAGGGCCTGTCTGGATGTTGACCTGCATGACCTATTGCAGGGTGCCTGCTTTTGTAGAGGGGTTGGACTCAATGATCTCTTGAGATGCCTTCCAATCCCTGCAGTTCATGACTTTGTGATCATCCGTGACCCCACTCAACATATGGAAGTTAATGCAACCTGCACGGTTTCCAGAAAGCAGAGGTTTCCCTTTGCTCTGAGCTGACTCACGTAAGGGAGAGAGGTGACGTAGTGCTGTCTGAGGTTTTAGTTTTAGAAGTTCAGAAAGGGGACAGATCTGTGTTGTGGATGAGGAGGATGAGAGAGATTTGCCCCATTCATCTGGACCACCTGTGCTTACTCTTAGTTTCTCTTTCATGTGTTGAGCTTTCCCTTCCCAGGGCACACAGCAGCCACAGCCCAGGACCTGTCACTCAACAAACACCTTTGGGAAGTGGCGTTGGCCACTGCTCTCAGTCACAGGGTTTGAATTTTGAGTGGTGCTGTGTGGAGTCAGGAGTTGGAGTCAATGATCCTTGGGGGTCCCTTCCCACTCGGGATGTTCAGTGGTTCTATGAGTTCCCTCCTTCTGCCATTAGTATGGGACTTCTGTCTCCTCTATCCCACCTTGGTACTTCCTGCCCCAGTGCTGTTCCCTGGACATGCCAGAGGTCTCAGCCAGTCCCACCAGAGCTGCTCATGCCTTGTTGGACAATAAGTTCTTTACCATGAGAGTGGTGAGGTGCTGGAACAGCTGCCCAGAGAGGCTGTGGATGCCCCGTCCATCCCTGGAGGTGTTCAAGGCCAGGTTGGATGGGGCCCTGGGCAGCCTGGGCTGCTGTGAAATGTTGGTGGCCCTGCATGTGGTGGGGGGTTGGAGCTTCGTCATCCTTGAGGTCCCTTCCAACCTGGGTTATTCTGTGATCCTGTGGACAATAATCAATACTGAGCAGAGCAGCAGCCAAGGGACAGAGGAATGAGAGGAAATGGTTGCATTCACAAAGGCGCTGTCTTGGCTGTGAGCAGCAGGATGCACTGTGGCTCAATACGATGCGGGGACAAACAGCTGCAGGAATAGGTAATGGGGAGGGCACTGATGGGAGTGTGCCTGGTACTGGGGCTGTGTGGGCTCAGGGTGCAGGAGCACAGATCTGTTGTTGTCCGCAATGCAGCTGTGCTGGGACAACCTGAGGATTGCCAGAATGCCTCAGATTCAATTAACACATGCCCTTCATCCTAAGCTTCTTCTAGCAAAACAAAGAGAGAACACAGCTACAGGAAAAAAAAATGTAGAAAGAACTCTGCAGCAGTGCAGTACAAAGGAAGTTCTGTAGGTTCTCTGGAGCTGCACCCATTCCCCCTCCTGGCCTCCCCAGCAAAGCACTTTCTTGTCTGCATCGTGTCCTGGAGGGGTTTGGGTCTGCTCTGCTCCCCCATTCAGGTTGTGGATGGCATCTGCTGTGCTTCTTTCCCTTTTCTCTTACGGACTTTGTGCACTTGATTGCTTTAAGCATCTGCTTGGATATGCACAGTTCCAGAAATTAGCAGAGTGTAATCACTAAAATCCTAGATTAGAGAGCGACCAGATGAGATTTAGCACTGGGGGAGGGAAAACTGTTGAAGAGGATTTCTGTAGGTCTTCCACTGCCTGCTCCAGTTCCAGGTGGAGCAAGTCCTCGTGCACTGTGTGCTCTCTGGAATGGGGACCATGTGTTGGTCCACACCTTATTGCAGAGAGAAACAGAACAAGGGTACTCTCTTTGACCTTGTTCTCCTCTTACCCTTTGCATAAATGCTGTGCCCAAATGTGTCCTTTCCTGCAGCCTAAGAGACAGCAATGGTATTTCTGCCATTTGTTAAACTGCAAGCTCTCATCCCACACTTGTGTTAAGCTGGTGTCAGGTTGGAGACTGGGAACAAACTGTGCTGCAAAGAGCGGCCAGCACTGCACAGCTGCCCAGGGCAGTGGGGAGTCCCCATCCCTGGGGGTGTTCAGGGACCACAGGGATGTGGCAGCTGGGGCTGTGGGCAGTGGGCATTGGCTGCGGTTGGATTGGGGATTTTAGAGGTCTTTTCCAACCTCAGTGAGTCTATGGCTCTATGATTCTATGCACAGTGTTGGAGAAGATCAGCTAGTGTCCAACACAGCTGACAGGGCTGCGTGCAGCTCCCTTGTCAGCACTGGAACCTCTGCAGTGCTGGAGGTGGGCAGCAGATGTGGCAATGCCCACAGTTCTCATTTCTGCTTCTTGGGTCTCTGCAGAATGCCCCCTGACGGCGGCGGCTCAGCTGGAGCTCAGCACTGAGATGATCAAAGCCTTGCGGAACGGGGGAGCGCATCTGGACTTCCGCACACGGGAGGGAATGACGGCACTTCACAAAGCTGTGCGGTGCCGCAACCACGCGGCGCTGCTGGTGAGTCCACATCCCAGTGCTGGTGAGTCCACATCCCAGTGCTGGTGAATCCAAATCCCAGTGCTGGTGAGCCCACATCCCAGTGCTGGTGAGTCCACATCCCGGTGCTGGTGAGTCCAAATCCCGGTGCTGGTGGGTCCAAATCCCAGTGGTGGTGAGTCCGCATCCCACTGCTGGTGAGTCCAAATCCCGGTGCTGGTGAGTCCACATCCCAGTGCTGGTGAGTCCAAATCCCAGTGCTGGTGAGCCCAGATCCCAGTGCTGGTGAGCTCACATCCCAGTGCTGGTGAGTCCAAATCCCAGTGCTGGTGAGCCCACATCCCAGTGCTGGTGAGTCCAAATCCCAGTACTGGTGAGCCCACATCCCAGTGCTGGTGAACCCAAATCCCAGTGCTGTGAGCCCACATCCCAGTGCTGGTGAGTCCAAATCCCAGTGCTGGTGAGCCCACATCCCAGATGGGGAGTCCAAATTCCATTGCTGGTGAATCCACATCCTGGTACTGGTGAGCTCACATCCCAGTACTGGTGAGTCTGCATCCCAGTGCTGGTGAGTCCAAATCCCAGTGCTGTGAGCCCACATCCCAGTGCTGGTGAGTCCAAATCCCAGTGCTGGTGAGCCCACATCCCAGATGAGGAGTCCAAATTCCAGTGCTGGTGAATCCACATCTCAGTGCTGGTGAGTCCAAATCCCAGTGCTGGTGATTCCATATCCTGGTGCTGGTGAGTCCCACGTCCCAGAGTTGGTAATTCCCAATTCTCAAGATCTCAGTGCTGGCTCCTTCTAGCACCCAGACCTCACGCCGCTGCCTGCTCCATAGCTGTACACCCACAGCATCTCCCCTGTGCTGCTGGCATGGAGCACAGTGTGTGACAAAGATGTGCCACTGATGGCTTGAGCCTGGGGAGAGAGGGCTGAGCAGCACTGTGCCATGACAGCAGCAATGGCCCCTTGTGGGTTGGTTATCCTCATGTGTGGAGCTGAGAGTGAGATGGGTGCATCTCCATCCCTGGAGGTGTTCAAGGACGATAGGGATAAGGCACTACAGGACGTGGTTAGTGGGCATAGTGTGGATGGATTGGGGTTGGACTTGATGATCTCAGTGGTCTTTTGCAAAGTTAACGATTCTATGATTCTCCTGCAGACATTGCTGGATCTGGGAGCCTCCCCAGACTACAAGGACAGCCGGGGGCTGACACCACTGTACCACAGTGCCATGGTGGGTGGGGATCCCTACTGCTGTGAGCTGCTGCTGCACGACTACGCTCGGCTGGGATGTGTGGATGAGAACGGCTGGCAGGAGATCCACCAGGTGAGGTGGATATGGATGAGGTTTGCTGGGCCTGGCCTGGCCCTCAGGTGCTGCAGGGCACAGGGTGCTGGTGGGTGGTGGGGGCTGCATGGCCAGCAGGGGCTGTGTTTCTGCTCAGGGGTTTGCAGGTGGGGTTCAGCTCTGTCCCACCGCAGGCCTTGCACTTGGGCTGCCTCAGCTGCCACTTTGGGATCTTGGCTCAACACCTGAGGTGTGTTGGGTACAAAACCAGAGTTCTACCGGTCCCTGTTTGGCACATTAATAAGTAGATGTGGCAGAGGAATCATAGAATCAGCAAGTCTGGAAAAGACCTCCAAGATCCAACCATCCTCCAAGATCCAGTTCAACCATCCACATATCACCAGTATTTCCCACTATACCACATCCTTCAGTACAACATTTGAACATTTCTTGAAAACTTCTATGGGCAGCGGCTCCACCACCTCCCTGTGCAGCCCATTCCAGCCTGGCCTCTCTTCTGGAGAAGAAATTTTTTGGATGCCCCATCCCTGGAGGCATTCAAGACCAAGCTGGATGTGGCTCTGGGCAGCCTGGTCTGCTGGTTGGTGACCCTGCACATAGCAGGGGGTTGGAACTAGATGAACACTGTGGGCCTTTTCAACCCAGGCATTCTATGAGGCTAATGTCCAACCTGAATCTGTCCTGAATCTAGAAGAGGGGAAGGATTCTATGAGGTTTATCATTTTCCTGCTGCCCCCTCGTTCTAGTTTCTCAGTTTCTTTTTCCTCCTTTTGTAGGCATGTCGCTATGGCCACGTTCAGCACCTGGAGCATCTTCTCTTCTATGGCGCTGACATGACTGCGCAGAACGCCTCAGGAAACACTGCTCTTCACATCTGTGCTCTCTATAACCAGGTACTTTGTGTGATTTGGGGCACGAGGACACAGAAAGCACAGACAACGAATCTGCACGAGGGCACAGTGCCAGATTTAGGCACCTTCTAAAGGTTGCTGCAGCCCCAAGACCTAAGAAAGTCCCTCTGGGTTCTCCCCACCCTCTGCCCAGGGCGAGGTGCTGCTGGTAGCACCAGTCTGATTTTGGATTTCTCAAGATCCGTGGTTTATTCCAGGATGTTTTTGCTCATTTACCACCTGAGCTACTCCATAGTTGTTCCTGTGGTTCCTATTCCTTCTTCACACCACACGCAGCAAACCCTCATTGCTGGTGGGGAGGGGGCAGTTTGGCTGCCTGGAGAGCACTCATTTGGCCCAGGTGCCCTCATTTCATATTGAGGAGAGCACCTGCCTCAGGTGGGGCTTTTGGGGCAGGACCTGCAGCTGTCTTGGCACAGAAGCACATAACATCTTATTACCAATCTGAATTTTAAAGAAGATTTCTCTTGTGATGCAGGGCATCATTTCTGTTTTGTTTTCTATGTGGCCACTGACCTCAGTTCTAGAGAAATTGGGGGGGGTGGAAGCCCTCTCTGACACCCCCTGGTCTCTTTCCCAGATGTAGAGGTCAGTATCCAAGAGCTTCTCCTGTGGGTTTTGTTCCTTCCTAGAGGTTTGATACGTTTGTGTTTCACTGTAAAGGGATTTATGTTTCTGAGGTGTCAAGTTTTAAGAATTGAATGCTGTTGTGACTTACAATGTGGGATGGTGTATGGAAATTGATTTGTGGCTTTTTAGGGGGTGGGTGTGCTCTGCTTGCTCAGGACTCTCATACACAGGTGCCTGCCCACTGGGGGCTTCGTAGATGGGAATTAACAGCGTAGAAGCACAGAGCATTCAAAACAAAAGCAAGAAAAGGCTGTAGGGAGTAGCAATACCTGGGAACGCGTGGTGGTCACTGTGCCACACAGCTGTGTTCCTGGGCTGGATTCTGGGCATTACTGCTGTAGTTGGCTCGCAGACAATGGCTTGGTCAGCTCAGTGCTGGGCGTGACCAATGTGTGGGGGCTCAGCATCCTGATGCATCCCTTGCTCTCACCAAAGGAGGCTTTCCGAGCTCAATGAAACAAGGTGGTTTGCCTTTTTGTTGTCCCCTTTGTTGTCTGTAATGCTGATCAATCTCTCCTTTCCTCCTTTCCAGGAGAGCTGCGCTCGGGTTCTCCTCTTCCGTGGTGCAAGCAAAGAGATCCGCAACTACAACAGCCAGACAGCATTCCAGGTGAGGCAGTGAGCACCAGCCACAGAACCATAGAATTGCTCAGCTTGGAAAAGACCTTAAAGATCATAAAGTCCAACCACAACCTGACCATACCACCCTAACACAGAACCCTGTGGGGTCCCAAGAATTGCTGGGGTGGCCTCTGGGACGACCCTGTGTGTGAGCTGGAGCTTCCAGAACAAATCTGTGCATTCAGGATGCCTGTTCTGGCCCTGGTGGCGGAGCAGGAGGGAGCAAAGTGTTGTCTGTGGGAAGGGCTGTGAGGCTACTGTTGTGGTGGGAGATTTGAAAGAGCTTTGGATGCGTACCCCATGCGTAACAGAGGTGCAAAGGAGGAGTTAGTGCTGTCTATGGAAGTGTTGCAGTGAGTGTTAGAGAGGGAACAAAATCCTCAGGAACAAAGGACAGTTTTGCTGCACGTAAACTTGCTGTGAATAAACTGAAAACAGAAGTTAGAGGGCCTGTTCCAGCACTTCACCACTCTCTCTGTAAAGAACTTCCCCCTGACATCCAACCTCAGTCTTCCCTCCTTCTACTTCAATCCATTTCCCCTCGTCCTGCTGTTATCTCCCCTTTTCAAGAGCTGACTCCCCTCCTGTTTGTAGGCTCCCTTGAGGTCCTGAAGGCTGCAATGATTCGCCCTGCAGCCTTCTCTTCTCCAGGCTGAACAAGCCCAGCTCCCTCAGCCTGTCTTTGTAGTGGAGGTGCTGCAGCCCCTGCTCATCTTTGTGGCTCCTCTGGACCCTCTCCAACAGCTCCCTGCCTTTCTTGAATGAAGTGTGTTTCAATACAAACTCAACAAGCAGTAATGAAACAAATAGGCACAACTGAAGTGTGTACAAAATACACACAGCCGTTGGACACACCGGTATTAGGATCAGTTCTTGAGAGCAGCCCTGCACAGAAGGACCTGGGGGTCCTGATGGATGAAAAGCTGAACATGAGCCAGCAGTGTGTTCTTACAGCTCAGAAAGCAAATGGGATTCTGTGCTCCATCAGTAGAGGGGTGGCCAGCAGGGACGGGGAGGTGATTGTCCCTCTCTGCTCTGCCCTCATGAGGCTCCATCTGCAGTGCTGCGTCCAGGTCTGGGGCCCCCAATGCAGGAAGGCTTAAATTCTTAGGAGGAATTTCTGTATGAAGACTGAGGCTGTGTTGCTTACGTTCTACTACGTGTTGGCTTGAATGCTAGGAGCAGAAAGGTCCTGGAAGGTCAAACGGAGTGCTCCATGCAGACTGGGCTCGTGCAGATGGAGGCAGTGGGGCTGCAGCTCTTCGAGGAGCTTTGCTTCTGGGAACTGATCGCTCATCTACTTCGTGTGAAAATATTTATTTTCAGGGAAGGACTTATTCCAGGAAACCGTTTCCTCCTTGTTGAAAGAGTTGAACTTTTGCCCTTTCTCCACCTCTTGATTCCAACCTTTTTGCTTTGGGCATTTGCAAGATATGGAGGTGGTGGGTGGAGAGAGCGAATGGCTGCAGCTCCCATTTGCGCACGTCCTGCAGAGCCCTGAGAGCCCTAATGAGGGAGAAGCAGCGTTTGCCTTTCTTTTTGAAGTAGTGTGACTAATTGGAAGTTTGTCTTCCAGAGAATGAAAACTGTGCTTGGTAACCCAATCGGTTTGTTTACTGAGAGAAGCATAACCTGATCCGAACCCAAATTTGATACCAGCATTCTGTGCTCCCATCAGCTCCCAGCTTTCAAAGAGAAGCTCTCTGCCTCTGCTTACATTGCTTGCTCAAGATTGCAGCATCTTGTTAAGTCGCTGCCCGCTGCAAAGTCTGGCACTTTCTCACGCATCGTCTTTGTGTAGCCATGGTAATGGGGTGCTACCTCTCTCTGGCTGAATTTCAGCACAGCAGAGGAAACCAAGGCAGCATGGGTGTGCTGGTCAGAGCAGCTCTGTGGCTGCTCTGTGCTGCTGGGAGCTCACATAAAGACCTCTGCTTCTGCAGAGCTATTTAGTCCATTTACTTCACATACCTCGTGTTAATTTCCTTGTTACCATTAATCAGATAGCCTGGTGTCAGTGGCCTGAGATGACTTGAGATAGCACCGAGTAATTTAGAGGATTTGGAAGTTGTAATCTCTCCATTTATCTTCTATGAGGCCAATGGGCACGCTCCATGGGGTGGTGGGGCAGGAGAGCAGGGAGCACTGCCCAATCTGTGTGGCAGCTGTGAGCTTCAGAGGGGGGTGTGGAGGCTGCAGGAGAGGGCTGAGCATCATCTCCTGGCACTCTGCAACTTGCTCTTGCCCTGGGCAGGAGCTGATACCTCCATCCTTGGGAGTGGTGATCTCCAATGTCCTTATCAATGAGGCAGACAGTGGGGTTGGATGTACCCTCAGCAAAGTGGCTGCTGGAAAGGATCCATCTGGAGGGATCTGGACAGGCTCAGAAAGTGGACCCATGAGAACCTGATGAGGTTCAACAAGGCAAAGCACAGGTGTTGGATTGGGGCAGTCCCAGCTATGAGTGCAGAGTGGAAGAGCTCCTTGAGAGCATCTCTGCCAAGAAGGACCTTGGGGTCCCAGTGGCTATGGGCCAATGGTGTACACCTGGGTGCCCCATCCCTGGGTGTTCCATCCCTGGATGTGCCCATGGCCATGGATGGGCCCTGGGCAGTCTGAGCTGGGGGGCACCCAGCCTACAGCAGGGATTGGAGCTCAATGGTCTCTCCCCTGTTGGGGTCAGGCTGTACAGGATGTGGTCTGGACCAAACAAAGCTGTGAATGTGTGCTGTGAATGACCCCTCCATGACTACTCTGATGTGAACCACCCAACGATTTTTTTCCCTATCTAGCTGTCCATACATCCACACTGTGATGTCTGAATTACACAGAGAGAGATGAACCAAATATAAGGGGCTGTCTCTCTGTCTGTCTGCTCCACGTCCTTGGAACTACCTGCTGGTTTTGTACCAGACCTTGGGCCATCTGTGCCACTTCTGTCTCCCAGCATTCTGCTTTGTGGGGCAGGGTTGGGAGCTGCTGACACCACAGCCATTCTGCTTTCCTCCATGTAGCAATTTCCTTGTAAAAATCAGGAGAATCCCAAACTGCTTCTGCACAGTGCCATGCAAAGCTTTTCATTTCTGCCACCAGTGCTTATGTGTCTGTTTCCCCATGGGTTCATCAGTCTCAGCTGTTTGGAGTGATGCTGTGAGCTGTGGGTAAAACCTACCAAGCTGTGTGTTAAGTCCTGGGGTTTCTTGTCATCTGGGTGGTCACTGCCCATGCCTCAGGTCTGGTGTTCCTTTTCCTCCCTGGTTTCCAGATGTCTCAAGGGCTCACTGAAGTATTTCTTTTCTCAGGAGCCTGGTGCTCGGTTGGGGTTAAGGTGTCACATACCAGCAACCTTTGTGCTTTAAACTTCTGGGTTATTTTTTCATCTTTCATTTAATAAAAGTAGCTTTTCCCATTGCCCTCAAACCTGTTTAAAAAGTAGGAGAAGTTCATGTCCTTGTGGAGGGCTTACCTTGCTCTGCATTTGTTGGTGATCCATTGGAGATGCCGGCAGGATGCTCCATACAAGGAAACAATTTCTGTTTTGGTAGTAGCACTGCCTTCCAGTTTTCTTTCCCAAACCTTACAGCTCTAAGGTGGAGAGTGTGGTCTCAATATCAACATGGGTCTTTCTTATCTGGAGAGTTTTAGAGGTTACTTCTGCTGTTCCTGTAATGTTGCTTGGTGATCTGTTGATCAACCATCTCTCCATAACAGCCACGACAAACTTAGCTTCAGGGGAGCACTGTCAGTGTCCGAGGGACATTAGAATCACTTGCTGAGTATCTTCACTTCTGATCTTTCTCATGTGGACACCTGGAACTCAGCCCCTGCCTTTTCCAGGGGCTGTATTACTGCACCACCTCAGAGCAGTTTGCAGCTGGTGCGTGCATGAAGCCCTCAGAGCAGGGCTGCAACTGCCTCAGTGTCCCCCATAGCACAGGTGGGCACGTGGGCTGGGGGATTAGCTTCAGTTCCTCGAACTGCCCTGCCCATGTGCTGCTTACTATGAACTTGTCTATTCTGGAGCCATCTGAAGCACGGACCACCTCCTCCTCCTCCCAGGGTCTGGAATGTGGCACTGTGCACGCTGTGCTTTTGTATTCTGGCTCAGAAGGAGCGGTGTGATGGAGATGAGCTTGAGCTCCCATGGTTGTCCAAAGGGAAACAAACCCAATTGTCAACATGAGGGTGTTTCTGGATCACGTCTGTGTTTTGTACGTGTGTTGTCAATGATCAGTCATCATTCTGCACGTACTTTTCCTGTCCTCCATTGCCAGCAGTGATGGGAGTCTGCCCCTGTGCCTTGCCCTCTGGTGGAGGCTCCTCATCTCTCTGCCCCTAAGCCTCTTTGCTTGGCCAAATGATGGCCTTTCCCTCATCTCCTCCCACCATTCTGTTGCCCACACAGCAGGCTGACCCATCAGATGGTCCAGCACTGTTGTGCCCAAGAATTTCCAGTGATTCCAAGGTAAGAGTGTTTGCCTGTAGATTGGATCTATGGGGCATCCAGTTGTCTTCATGTCACTTCCACTCTGGATGCTGGAAAGCTACTAAAACTGTGTGAGCTTGCTATACCAATGCAGCTTTTGCAGCTCATGAATGTGTTAATGAGAACCGACCCAAAAGTGAACTCCCCCACTGGAAGTTTTCGTCGTCATCGGGATGCTGAGTTTCCTAACAATCATTAAGTGTCAGTTTTTGCACAAATTGTTGTTCTTGTGCTACTCATGGTTGGATTGCTTTATGTGCAGGATTTTCATACGCTGAGTATAAAAATACCACGAGCAGTTGCTTCGAACTTCCTCTCATTTCACTGAAATGTGACAATCAGAGCTGCTTCCTATCTGTCAGAAAGTTGTCTGTCCTTTTGATAGCTGCATTTTTTTGTTTGTTTTCTTCTTCCCTCTCCCCAGGCTGAATTCTTCTAAGCAGGATTTTTTGGGGGTAGGTAGTTGTTACAGGTACTCACAGTTCCTTGCTGTGAGCAGCATA